TGAGTAACTTCTTACAAAATATAAAAGAGGATTTAAAAACTAGCCTGGGTCTAACAGTCTGATAAACACTCCCACACAAAGGGACGAGTTTATACCACAGCCCTGCAGTGGGATGAATAGGACGGCAAAGGAAATTGAATTTAACCACGGCTGCGTTCCACACCCCTCCCTGAAACCTCTGTATCCCGTGGCCTATATTACACACAAACATGGTTTGTTGTTTTGTTCCCCCAGTACTGTGTGTGCACCCTCAACCCTCAATTAGAATGACAATTAAAGTGGCCATTTATGACTCACTTGGCTTGGAAACTTTGGTTAGTTGTCCTCACTTTTTTCTACTGTAGCACTTACCAAGAGTATTAGGATTAAGTGACGGCTGCATTAAGTATCAGCACCGAGGGGATCTGTAAGCCCAATATTCACTCCTCACAATTAGTATCTATCCATGACAATTGCAGCTTCTGAAGACACTTGATTTAGTTTCATACTAAACCATGGCTATGGTTAAAAGAAGTCAAGCATATTGCAGATCTTTTGGTGTGCCCGGAGCAACCAATGCCACTGGGTGTTTATCAGAGGGTAACCCAGGCAGAAAATTTGTATCCAGCTAAACGCACTGAAGTTCATCAATTGAGGAGTGTGTGTGGTATCGACAATCACTATGATACTCAGCACTTTGAAACATACACCCATGTAGTCATATAAACCACAATTTGACATTTCTGTAAAGGTAGGCAGCATGGACAGAATTGAGGGTAAGTGTAGGAACAGTACCTAGCATCTCTGAGATGTCTAGAATAGTTGACACTGATTTTATATAGTCTTAGAAAGCCCGAAGTCTTCATAATCAGATGATTCAGGGTCGGAGTCATATCATAATTCTGTTTCTGGATAGATTTTAATTTTACAATGAAAGGGGCTACAGTGGAGTGACAGCAGTAGTTTATAAAAAAGGTGTGAAGAACCCAAATCACACCAAGCAATCGTCTGTAAAGGATCGACATCTGACCCTCAAATTCTTTGGCCCGCACTTCATGCACATGTTGACTTGAGGTCTCTGCTACCGGTGTATATACTGAGTATAGGAATGTGCTGTGAGATGCTTGGTGTCCAATCGCACCACTGTGATAGGATATAGATCAGGGAAACGCTGAGTCTTATCACAGGAAACCAAACATACTGTACTCTGTTAGCTGCAGATACCACTGCTGCATTTGGGTGCATATATCAGCAATAGGGGAGATTTTGCTGTCTTGTGTGCCAGTGTAGTACACTAACTAAAATTGGGCCTGACATAAACAAGGGGAAAAAAAAAAAAAAAAAAAAAAAACCTGTTTAAAGAAATATTATCAAATGATGCATACTGAATTAGCTGGGATTCTTTCTTCATCTAATTATGGGAAATTGAACATTAAGAACAATGATTATCCCATTGTTAACCTGGCTTCCCTGCAGTCTTGAGGCTTTAACACTGTGTGTGGTGACAATTTGCACTCGTCTACGGTCCATGTGAATCTAAAAATAAAATTCTAAACACCAAACTTCACGGAAGATTTAGTGAGTTTGTTAAAAAGGCGTCTGAAATGCAACCTTGCACCCTTTTTTTTTTTTTACCGTTAGGTACCCAAGTACAGGACCTCACGTACAGTGTGTTGATGTGTGAGGGACTTCACACAACTGTACAAAATGTGCCTGACTAAGCAGGGTTATCGGCTATGCTGGAACTGCAAGTGATCTCCTCACTGCTAGTCAAACTCTGGCCTGTAGCAGCCATTTAATGGCCCAGGCCAGCTAACATCTGTAGCCCTGTAGAGAGAAGAGAACAAAAAGGAGCAAAAGTTGCTCATTTATTGGAGAGATTCGACGAAAAGCCAACAAGTATTCAGAGCATTACTATACAAAATTACTGGCAGTGGACAACTATGAGCATTTCCAACACTCCCTTTACTTCTCTTTTCATGTCTGAAGGGCACAGCCAGTGACGTCAAGAGTTAAGTGAAATCTTATTTCCATCTCCCTGTCATGCTCCTCTCAAAACCTTCATTCCAGCTATGACCCACATAGAACCACAAGCAAGAGATCCCCAAAAACATGTTAAAATAAACAAGGCTTCTGTGAAAATGGTAAACACAGTCTGGTTCAATCTGGAATAGGTGTGGGCATCCGGCTGTCTGAGGGAGCAGTTTATTTTAAGCTGTGGCTGTGGGCAGGCATGCAGAGCAAAATGACTCAAACAATGATACTCACTCGGAGCTCCAGTGAACATGATGGAGAACAGGTTGATTCCCATGGTCACGGCGTAAAACAGAGGCAGGGCCCTCAATCCATTAGGCACAGGGTCTTTCTACGGGAACAAAACAGAGCACCTAGTCTGAAATACAAATTCCACTGTGTGGACAGAATTGCCCAATTTTGTTGTCAGGTTACAGTTTATGGCATAATAAGGACAAGTTAGCATGAGCCTTGCTGTATTATGCATGTATGTAGAATAAGGAACTGCTTCAGTCAACGGCAGCTTTATTCTTGGCATGCAACAAACATTTCCTCAATTTCACTTTGACCATGGACTAGTACAGTGTTGAAACTGACCTAAAAACGTATGACCACGGAAGGTTCTCGTCTTGCTCACAAATACTATCGACAACTTGAAGAGCTAACTTACCTTGCGTAAGATGAACGCACGCACAAAGTAGAAAACAATGCCTGACATTATTCCAGACAAAAGGGGACTCAGGAACCAGGAAGCAACTGTAAATTAAAAATAAAGAGTAACGCAATTTAGTGTAGTTGTAGTATGTGACAATTGTCACAAAACACAAAAAAAACTGTCCTTCTACTCTTCCTTGAAAATAACTGCATTCTAGGAAATTCACTATTGCTTTATTCAAGAAAAAAAAAAAAAAAAATCTTGTTGGGAAACATTCCTGACATGTCAGGTCATTCCTCTGGTAAAGGAGAAATTCTTTGGATGTTTAGTCAACCCAGCTACCGGTCCCATGGACGGACCACGTTGATCTTTACACCTTATGCAGCCAGTCAGTCAATAAGGGTTCTTATTGTGACGTCAACATAAAATTTCAGGCCTTTTCCATACAGAACTTCTAAAGGGCAAACAGACTGGTTTACATCAGCTTTCGGGCTTTCTGTTGAGGAACATAGACCTGCAATCCACCATCTGATGCAACAAATGTGAGAAACAACTTGTGAAATCAGTACTGGTATTGTATATTCCTTTAAAAAAGAAAAGTAAAATTAACTAATTTAGTACTAAAGTAAAATTGCCTTGTGTTCTGTCTTGACAGCCCACTCCACTCTACAAAACATTACTGACTATTAGAATTACTACAGATTTATATACCAAACACTGTTTGTGTTGTGGATTTAGCTCTAAACCTGAAAAGGCCATTCATAAATGTCTAAGACTGGATTGTTGACCTGGATATTGACAGTCCTCAACACAAACAAAAACACTGCCTAATGTATTATAACAGTGCATTACCGGTCACACCCTGCCATTACATTAATATAGAATGTGATGCAATTCAACCAAACACTGAGAACATTTCTAGGACAGCTGATTAGAGCATCTGACTACTTACCGATGCGGAGGAGTTCAAACCACTTGACTCCCTGCTGGCCTCTGGCAACAAGCGAGAAGCCGATAGTAGCACCAACAATGCAGTGTGTTCCAGAGATGGGGAGCTTAAGGAAGGAGGCGGCCAGCTGCCACACAGCAGATCCTAATGAGAAAATGAAACATGTTAGACTAGACATATTGACCTCGCCTCAGCTTTTCCACATGCCTTTTCAGACAACTTTCAAAACTGGCAAAAAGGACACAGAGGGCTCACAGCAGTCTCATGGCAAAACACAATACAAAACAGGGAAATGTCAAGAAAACAAAAATCATATGAAATGGCTATAAACAGCAAATGTTTTAAATGTTTTTAACAGCTAGAAGTCAGACATTTTCCAAGTAAAGTAATTTGGGCAATTATTCAAATAGAATGATAAAATCATGTGAAAATGTTTCACTAATTTAGTTACAGCCTATTCTGAGGTGTTGATTTGACATTTAAAAAATTTTGTTGTAAGAACAGTCCTTACGTGCCAACAAGCTCTGCTCACAGGGTTCAATGGCCACAGGTTTAATTACACACAAGATAAGCTTCAGATACTCACCAAACATGGCACTGATGGATCCAGCCATCAACACATGCTCAGAGCCGTTGTACATGCCCACGTCAATGATACCCTTGCGGATGGTTTCGCTCACTTTGGCCCCAAGGAGCACAGAGCCCAGAGTCTCAAACACTGTAGCCAGAATGCACGCCTGGCGCAAGGTGACCACTCCAGAGCCCACTGCTGTGCCAAATGAGTTGGCAACATCATTGGCACCCACAGAAAAGGCTAAGATGAAGGCGATGATGAAGCCAACAATCAACAGCCACATATATTCTGTCAGAGCAGTCTGGGTCGCTAGCCCTACTGTGCTGACCAGTATTATTGCAGTCGCAGTTGTTGAAACCATGATTGTAGACTATAGACGAATTGCTTCACAATCTTAAAAGGGATGAATGCCTGTCAGAATAGCTTTATAATGCTATTTTGAAACAGCAGCTACTAAAATAAAGAGGTATGTGGTAAAATAAATAATTAAATTCTCTTCAGGCCCACCTGTTTTAAACAGGATTTCAGAGATTTAGCAGTGCAAACTTGTAAAGCGTTTACCTGGCAAGGACCAGAAAACAATTAAGGTAAACGGAGGTATATAGTGTGGGCTTATTGCTATCCTGTAATTGTACTAGATCTGTTGATTTTCCTTTGGTGCTGAGCCATCAAGCAGAGTGAACAGAAAGCCATTGTGCAACTGTAACTGCAGATGAGCAGGGGTACATCCTGAAAAAGACAAAAGACAGACATAGCCTTCTTTTAATAAGAGTTTCTCCTCAATTCACCTTCATGTAAAAGCAGACCGACACACTGACACACTGAAAGAAATGCGCGGAAGTCAGGGAAGGTTTTACCCAAAGAATCAGCTTCTTTACAGACCGTATAAGATAAAACAACACGAGAAGCAGGGGAAAAAACAGTAGTAAACGCTTGGACCGGAAGGAGGATCTCTAGAAACATTAGCTGCCTTTCATGAAAACCCAATGGGAAGCCATTTTTTGTACATGTCGCAGGAAGGGGCCGGTGCTTACATTACACCAACGTCCTCTAATTTTACACCGACACTTAACTTATTTTCTAGTTTATTGCCGTCTTTTATTTGGCGTTGCTGGCCATAAAAGGCCGTTGCGAGATAAACAGGGTCTTATCTACAGGAGACATTTTATATATTTCCTACATAGGCACGTGTCGTCATCCATTCATAGAGCACAGCCCCCAAAACCAGCGCTGACTGTTCATACCGGTTCACACGACTTAACAGAAAGGGCTTGACATTATGTATTTGATTTGTTGTTAAAATAGATACTGCGCCTAGTATCATCAGCTTTAATTATGTTTGACGTGTTTTTTCGTAAACGGGGAAGCGCCCGAGGCACACAGGCGGTAACTTAACGTTACCTCCGGTTGACCGGATGGGCAGTCACCGTTGCGTCGAGACAAGTTTAATGACCTGCCGAGCTGGAGAGATGGTCAACACCGCTCGGTTAGCTCAACATTAACGTAAAGGACCATTTTCATTGCGCCGTTGATATTGGTTCGAGGCAGGTGTTTGACGATCCTAACGGGGATGTTAACAGAAACTCACAACCACAGTCTGTCATTGTTCACACAAGGCGTTAAACCTACAATAATGTCAAGTGTCTGTCTTCGGTTATACCACACAGGGCCTTTCAACGGATCAGATACCAACGTTAGCAAACTCATCTCAATAGCGATGAATAACTTACACAAGGGTCTTTTACTGCGCTAATGTTAGCATTAGCTTAAAATAAAATGGTGACGTTCATCTTAATTGCGGTTTTCGCTCACTAACGTTATATACACAACAAGGAGCTCTTTATTCGGACAGAAAATGTAAATTAGAGCACTTACCACACGTTGCAGTTCTGTCCTGTTGAGAATAGCTCTTGCTAGCCAGTAAGCTAATTAACGTTAGCGCGCGCACAGTTACGATAGCGCGCGCGGGATACTGAAAAATGTCTCCGTATTATGAACAAAATCCTTCCAACAAAGCTGCCTCGCGATAAAAAAAAGTCACCACGTCAAAAAGGGTATTTACGACTATCTGATTCGGTGTGGAATAAATCCGCCTTTTCGCGTCGAGAACCGTCTCAGTTTGAATGAGAGTTGTAGCCGCGTGTGTAGAACTTGCTCGTGCCGGTGGACGGAGCCGGGGGTTTCTTTTTTTATTGGATACACCCTTCAGGAAGCGCCGCCCAGCTTTCAGCAAGACTCCTCTCTCTCTTTTTTCACTCCTCATCACGCGCTGAGTGGATGGAAGTAGTCTGCCATGGAGGCTTGAGAACTAAATGTTCTAATAATACATCCATGTGTCCCACTAGGCAGAAGATCCCTTTCTCAGCGAGTCTTCTTATGCAACATTACTTTTCTCTTCTCTATTATATTTAACTCAAAGTATATACCCACAAACACTACAGAAAAATCTGGATTAAATCCACTTCCACTTCTAAAATAACCATTATACTTACTATACATTTCTGTAGTATTAGGACACTTTACTGTATATATCCGTTCCTCTATAAATACACAGTGGTGGAATGTAATTAACTATTTACTCAAGCACTGTACTTAAGTATCCTACAATTTTGAGGTATTTATACTTCACTTAAGTATTTCCATTTCATGCTCATTTGTTACCACTCCACTTCATTTCAGATGGAAACATTGTACTTTGAATTCTGCTGCATTTACACTTACATTTACATTTACTCATTTGGCATATCCAAAGCGACTTACATTTGAGGAACAACATAAAAGCATCAACAGAGCATCAACTACAGATCTACAACTGACAATACATACTAGTAAGAGCTCACAGTACATATCACATCAATGGGGTAGATACCTAGGGAAGGAAGTAAGAGTTAACAAAAAGTGCAATCAAAACAAAAAGTGCAATCAATACAAGATCATTGTAGGGGATAGAAGAAGAAGAGCACAGGAAGAACATGTTAGAGGTTAGGAGTTAGAGGTGTTATAAGAGAAAGTGTTCTCGGAAGAGATGAGTTTTCAAGTTTAATAGTTGTATTTAGGCCTACTAGTTATTTTGCAGATCAAGTTATTGTAGCTTACAAAACCTGTGTTGAGGTTCTAAAATACAATGGATTACTATATGTAGGTTAATCTACCCAATAGTAGCTCTACAGTACCTCAACCAGTCGCTTATAATAATAAAATCCAAAAATACAATACTAAAACATTGTCATTTTGCTGCAAAATGGGTACTTTTACTTTTGATACTTGAAGTAGCCTACATTTTACTACTAATACTTTTACTTAATTAACAATTTGAATGCAGGACTTGTAGGCTCTAATGTCACGTCCAAACTGTGCAGGAAAAACACCCGGTGGTGGTGATGTTAACTGCATTACACAAGACTTGTTATTCATTCAAGTGCATTCGACCGGAAATGATAACAACATTCACTCTCTAACAAAAGTCGTTTACTTTGGTGACTGTTCTTTTTATTATGTTCAAGAGAGACGTGATATGCTGAATGGAAGAAGTGCTCACTAAGCAAAGCAAAATGTGTTTGGCTGATTACTGTTTAGCCAAAGCGTGTTTTGTATTTGCATGACAGCAACGAAACACACCACGCTAGGATATTTATTTAGGCTACATGGGATACTGATGTAATATAAGCACATATAATTATTATTTTACTGCGAGATCCATTGTCCATTGTCTCTTCTTAATTGACGTCACTTCTTTTGAGGATCATGGAAAATTTCCTAATTCCCAGTCCATTGGGCATGTCTAGGGTAGGGTCGGCCGGGATCGCTTGTAATTACGATTCTTGTCTTAGCACACGAAGGCAGCATCTCACAAAGGAAGGCGTGGCAATTACATCTGTTTGAAAACTACTCAATAGGGGGGAGTTTTACTCTCGTAATTTCTAGAACTCCATTCGAAACTTCAAAAGAAATACATTGCGTGTTCTTTAACTCCCTCTTCAGCCAAATATAGCAGATACTCACACAAATAACACCTCCCTGTGTACTCCCTTGCCAGTAAGCAGAGGCCAGTTACAGAGAAGTGACCTAGACTTAATAAATGATTAGATAGGGCGGTTGTCAGTGTCAGAAAATAACTCGGAATTCATGTTTACTGATGTTTGTTTATTCTAGCTTCTACTCCAGTTGTCCTGAATAGACCGATTTCAAACGTAGCCTACTTGAAATGACAGTGGCTTCTTCATTTTGTCAGAGTCTCAGAAAGGGCACCGGACACCATGATGAAATAGGCTATAACCATGATGGGATATAACCATTTTTCTTTTTGAAATATGGCGTACATCCTGTATGTAAATATTCTAACTGCATAGGACAGTCAAACTAATGATTGATGATAGAGTTAAGTGAACTGTGAGAGAGGCACACGATGTGTTTGCTGACAAAAAACATCTTGTCATATGATTATTCTCTCATGATAGACTACTGAAGTCATTCAAAACTTTCCTTGAGAGAGACTCACATGACTCCTGCTAACACTGCCTTGACGGTTAAATAAAATATTTCTTCTAATTACACACAAATTAAGCAATAAAATGGCTCTGTAGTCAAAAATTATGAAATTGTGTGATTTTATTCCATTGTATTCCATTACCCTTTGGCCTATTTTGTTAATAAAAGTTTTTGACATGTTAAGTTGCACAAGATAATTCAGTGAATTGCTGAATAAATGATTTAATTACAAGGTTGAACAAAGGGAAAAGGAATACCAACATGTTACTTCCACTGATTCCTAGTGAGCCAAATTATACAATAGAGCCTTTTCAGTGTTAAGTGCAGTAGATACAGTAATGCTGCTGAGCACATTTAAATGATTTGGATAAAAAAATGCTTTAAGATTGAGCCTCTAGTGTAATCTTTTTTTACAAACCTTGTTTGAACATAAGTACAAAGACAAACTTATTATTGTACAAACCAGACAATGTTTCATGTCTAAAATGAATCACACCTCCCAAGAGTGTATTACTTCTAGAGTGAGCTATGGCAACATTTCTTCTTCTCTGCATGGTTAAACACCGCCATCTGGCGTAATTACACTGATAACATTTTGATAATTAAGATTTATTTCTCTGCCCATCATGCTGCCTATATGTTTTGTATGATCGTATATTTATTACCAGTCAATTTATTTATATTTTGCTCAATAAAGAAGAAAAAAGTATTACAATGTCAAAATTAGTCCAAACTATTTTCCACCCAAATACTTCACTAATTTTGACATTGAGGAAGTGTTTCGGTTAAATGTTTTTTGAAACTGTAACGTCAGCTCGGTCATTGCAAGAACAAACTACAAATCATATTTATCTACAGCACAAATATAGCCTACATAATTTCAGCCAAGAAAACATGTATCACAAAGGTGAACCTGCCGCCCTCTAACGTTACTTAAACTCTAGTTACTTCGCTGAACTGGGATCAGATTTTACTCAGGTTAGCTGCCATGAGGAGAAGCTATAATTTCTAGGCTCGTCCAGGATCAGGGTCTGCGGAAAGCTGAGCCCATACTGGACAGAGGAAGTTAGAGTCGCCCTCATGCAGTGCCGTTCAGAGCCACAGTCACCAAAATATATGTTAGAGCACGATTATGAGATGTGCTGGCGCACATGCTGGCGCTCGAGTAGCTAAATTTAATACTGGCTCCCAGTAGGACCAATCAAATTTCCCCTAGAACAACAAACGTCCAATGAACTTCCGCTTTACAATCTGTAAGGCGGGGTTTCCGAGTGGGTGTGTGAGAGATAGTAAGGAAGAGGTCAAATACGCTGCTAGAGTTAGAAAAACATGAGGCTGTCTCCATGAAAGAAACACAGGTAGACAATTGAGTTACTGTAGACGACGTAATTTACACGATAGATTTTTCTATTGTGAAATAAGTGCGGCGCTGTTGTTGGGGTGTAGTTCATCTGTGTCGCACTAACGTTAGTAGGCAGTAAACAGGGATAGCTAATGCTAACGTTGTATGTCGCGTGCTCGTAGACAGCTCGATAACTAGTTAACGTTACAACCAGAATAAAATCACGAGTTTTTGCTTGCCAAACGACCACACTATCTGTGTAAAGGTAATGCATTGCGCATCTCAGCAGACTATTAGCTTTGGCTGTGAAATTCGTTAGCTGGCTAACGTTACTGAACTTTGCTGACATTTATTTTGTCTTTGGGAACTTGTCACGGTTTTAGCTGTCATGTTTCACTCCGTTCCCCGTCGTCCGATCTGCGAGATCGGAGTAAATACAATGAGGCTTCCGAGCAGCAGGTCGTTCAGGCGAACTGTCGAGGAGGGCAGAGGAAAGCTTGAGAGAGTCCCATGGCTGGGCAGGGGCATGGGCCTGCTGTTGTCCTGGCTCCAGAGGGCAAGCGTCGGTGCCAGTGAGGTCGCGGGATCTGCCCAAAAGAGGAAGGGCTTGCTCTCCATTTTTGCGGACCACTGCAGCTTTGTGACGGGACAGAGGCTCCGGCGCGCTTGTCAGATCGGCGAGCTTTACTCCAACCTGTACTCCGAGCGGACCAGGTGGACCCTGGTTGGGAACATATGGCGCAGATTTCAAAGCAAGCACGCCCCAACTGGGAGACTTGTAGCGGCCCTGGTTGGTGTCTTCATGTGGGAGAACGAGAAGATCCAAGATGAGGAAATTCGCAGGTTTGATTTTCTCTTTAAATGCACACGTGAATGAGTGGAGGCATAACAAATGCAGATGCTTCCATAGAGGGCACGTGGGGCTCACTGCATGCTTTGTATGTAGTATGGAAATGATGTGAATTATATGCTATGACCTTCACATTCACCAGATGTCATCCCAGTTGATCGCCTACCTCAATCAGAAAACCAAATGAGGGAATATCCTTTGCAGAATGGTGTTCATCCCTCTAGTGAAATTACAGAGACTTGTAGAATGTTTTTCGAGGCTCAACATGTTACTAAAACACTTGCATAGTTTTCCCTTTAATTTGTCATCCATCTGTATGAGCAATGCACCATTTCGTACTGACAAACTAATTATGATCTGTAATGTGCAGTATGCTGAACAACCTTCCTGTTTGTTGCTTACCTTTTTGAAGGTGTGGACTTGAGATTCAGGCCCTGGAGGCTGTAAAATGTTTAAACACAGCTTCTGGGACAGTGGCCGGGCACATGGAACCTGGCTGG